AAAAATGTTTACCAAATTTGGATAAATTTAATGAAGCGGTTTTCCAGGTATTTAAAAAAAATGTTTTATTTTTTGTAATTTCAACGCCCTGTATCATAGAGCAGTGATGTTAATTTTTGTTGTTTAGTACTTTCCCGAAGTTTGTCTATTAAAATCTGGACCACCAAATTCGTTTTATTTTTCTTTATTTTAACGCTTTGTTTACTGGATATACTATCCATAACTCATAAACCATTCACTTTTCAACAAAAATAAAACAATGTTTTTTCATCCGGAATGTTTCAGACCGTTATAAAATGTATTCATATTATCAGTTAATTCAGAAATTTTACCTTAAATAAGGAAACGATATCCTTGTTTCTCCGCCACTGGTTTTTAAATTTGAACGGTGTGCAACAGAAATAGGACAAATATCTGGAAAAAAATGTGTACCAAATTTGGATAAACTTGATGGAGCGGTTTTCCAGATATTATTTTTTTTATTTTTGTTCATTTCAATGCCCTGTATCTCATAAACGGTGGCTTTCTGTGCCTATGATCATAGAGCAAAGTGATGAGTTTATTCTTTACACTTTTCTTCCACACTGTACATATGACACAGATTATTAGTAAACAAGTTGTTTACCAAACCTGAAATCATTTTTCAATCGCACACGCGAAATGAGTTTGGTTCTTTTCTGAAACTGGAATAACCTAAACTTTGATTCTCCGTTATTTCTAATAAGTGTAAAAATAAGAGTTGAATTAGAAATATAACTGTAGAAATACATTGTCAAAGTTAACTGCACACCTCAGCGACCCAACAACAAGATAACATGATCAGTGTGGCAAAACCGACATTATGTAAAATGTTTTTTTGTGATTGGATCCTTAGAAATGAGGGAAATTGACGAATTGGTAGTAGTTATATCTATTTTCTTATACCAATGGTGTGCGATAAAGACTTGATGACCAAGAAACTAATAAATTTGTTTCTATGGTAGGTACATTTTTGAGCACGTCATTAGAGGTAGACACATTTATAATAAAAATTTACATCACTGTATCTATAATAAGAAATAAAAATTTATATTACTTTTAATAAACATATGTAACTAGGTATTTGTGCTTTCGTACCTCAGAATATTTCAAAATAAATCGAAAAATTGCCATAGCATTGTATTTTTTCTTGTTTTGATATATTATTAAAGATATAATTAACCTACAAAATGTAATTTATTCATGTCTATATTTTTCTGTGGTGTGGGGGATCAGTGCATATTCTGATATAAAAAAGTCATTGTAAATACCATTGTACCAACATAATGGGATATATTAGCAATTAAAAGGTTTCTCTAAATATTCGATTCTTGTTTAAATTTTGGACAAATTTTAAAAATCAAAACTTTTATACACCGTGTCCCATTTTAACCGATCACCCCGAATAACCAAGATAACCTCCAACTAAAAAACTTGAACAAAAGTCGTAAGGTTTTAAGGGGAGCATACGATAATGACCTTGATTTTGATCCAGAGGTCAAACTTAGGGGTCATTTGGAGGTCAACTTCGAAATTTTAAATGGAAACCTCATTTGTTCTATCCAGAAATGGAAAGAGCAGAAAATTCTACGTTCAGAGATATGTACATTTTATCTTAGGTCAGATTGACCCTTAGAGGCCCTCCGAAGGTCAAATCAGCTTAAATGATCTCTAAATTTGACTCCAGGGCGCAAGGTTAAAATTACAATTAGACCATGAATCATGACCACGGTAGTTTGAATGGAATTTGTCACAAAAATTAATCAACCTGTGGGTACACATGTTCGCAAGTGACAAATTTTTAGGCATTACGTCAAGAGCGCCAGCAGGACACCGCCGGACGAACCAGCGTTCCAAGAAGCGTCTACTGGCGCCGGCGACCAGATGCGGACTCGTATACCTACGACCGATTCCACACACAAGAACTCTCCACTAAACATTCGAACCGACAACACGTCTTCTTCCGCAAGCTTAGTTTTCAATAAAATACTTTATTAATACTGTTGAGAGAGTGTTTTATTCTTGCTGTACAGCGAAAGCAACCCACAAGTGGTGACCCCAACGTGATTTTTCACCCGACGTGATTTTTCAACCGACATGATTTTTCACCCGACGTGATCTTTTCAGTGAGAGTACGCGATTTTGTGCAGTTAGAGTGGTTTTTATTTCGTGCAACGCAGCCTCAAACAAGGAAACTACTTCGAAAAAACTTAACCCAGCTCAGTGCAAATACACTGCTTACGACCGCGAACTTCTTGCGATTTACGAAGCAGTCAAATACTTCCGGCATATGGTCGAGGCAAGAACATTCGCGATTTACACCGACCATAAGCCTCTTACGTTTGCCTTCGCGAAAATGTCAAATCAGTGTACACCGCGACAATTCCGCTATCTAGACTTCATTGGCCAGTTTACGACAGACATTCGTCACATGGCTGGTCGCGAAAACATTGTAGCGGATGCTTTGTCCAGGGTAAACGAGATATGCGCGTCTTTAGACTATGAGACACTCGCAGCATCGCAACAAAATGACGACGAAATCAAGGAGTATGTCGACGGACAACACGGCCTTACACTAAATCGTATCAAAATACCCGACCCGAACGCGACTGTATTTTGTGACGTATCTACGGACGTGGCCTGGCCGTTTATCACCAAGCCATTTCGTAAGGTAGTGTTCGACTCGGTACATCATCTTTCGCACCCCCGTATTAACGACACAGTCAAGATCCTTACGCAACATTTCGTCTGGCCGTCAATAAAGCGTGATAGCAGACGTTGGGCACGTTGCTGCGTCGAATGTCAACGCGCAAAAGTGACGAGACACGTGACTTCTCCGACAGGTTCATTCCAACCTTCGTAAACGAGATTTGAACATATCCACGTGGATATCGTTGTGATGGCGCCATCCGAGGGCTACCGCTACTGCTTAACCTGTATAGACCGCTTCACCAGGTGGCCAGAAGCAATCCCGCTAGAGAACCAAGAGGCAGAAACTGTAGCTAGCGCTTTATATGCTAATTGGATATGCAGATTTGGATCACCCCTACGAATAACGGCGGATCAGGGTCGACAGTTCGAATCGCATCTATTCAGACGCCTGAATAGTTTACTAGGTACGACTCATCTCCGAACCACCGCATATCACCCAGCAGCAAATGGCATGGTAGAGCGTTTTCACCGCCAATTAAAAGCAGCGATAAAATGCCACCAAGACGATCGATGGGAATATGTGCAGCTTGGAAAGAAGACATTCAAGCTACCGCGGCCGAGATGGTGTACGGAAAACATCTACGCCTACCCGGAGAATTTCTTCATTCACGCATCACAGACAAAGAGCTTAGCACCGAAGCGAATTTTGTTAAGGATCTCAAACGTCATATGGAAAGATTACGTCCAGCCGCAGTTAAACGTCATGGCGAGAAGACGCCATTCGTTTTTAAAGACTTGACAACAGCGACACATGTTTTTGTGCATGCGGACGGCGTTAAAAGTCAGCTACAAAACCCATATGATGGTCCGTTTACAGTGATCAAACGCGACGACAAAACATTCAAGGTGCTAGTGCGTGGTCACGAAGTTAAAGTGTCCATAGACAGATCAAACCTGCGTATTGTTTGATTGATACGACAGCTATCAGTGACGAGGACTATAGCCTTCCATCAACTTCTGCCCCATTATCAGTGCCAACCACACCCAAGGCAATTACCACTAGGTCCGGTAGAAGGGTCCGTTTCCCTGACCGGCTGCAACTTCCCTGATGGTATCCATACTGGCAGGGGGGTTTGTGGGTACACATATTCGCAAGTGACCCATTTTTAAGCATTACGTCAAGAGTGGACGCCTCCGGACGAACCAGCGTTCCAAGAAGGGTCTACTGGCGCCGGCGACCGGATGCGGACTAATATACCTACGACCGACTCCACCAAACATTCGAACCGACAACACGTCTTTTTCCACAAGCATAGTTTTCAATAAAATACTTTATTATTACCGTTGAGAGAGCGTTTTATTCTTGCAGTACAGCGAAAGTAACCCTCAAACCTTTTGCCATAAAATATAAATATTTCAGTCGGATTCAGCTAATTTAATTTTCAGAGGGTCTCTAGAGGTCAATCTATTTCTGGGTAAAACAAAGGAGTGTCCATATGAAATTCCGAAGTTGATCTCTAAATGACCCCTAAGTTTGACCTCTGGGTCAAAACCAAGGTTATTATTTTGTTCTGGAAATTTTTCAATTTTTCCCGCAAAATTATTCGGGGTGATCGATTAAAATGGGACACGGTATATAGCGATACATTTTCTATGGGTACTTCTGTTGAAAAAAATACATATAATAAATTTTTGTTTTAGAAAAATAACCCAAAAAATTTAAAACAGCTCAGTTCGATTTTAATTCCACCAACTTAATGTTGTCAAAAATTTATTATTTTGTACATAGTCACATTTAAAACGGAACAATTTCAGTGCCTTGAAAACAAAAAGAAGAAAAAATATATTCACTCACAAAAAATAAAAGTTGGGCATTACTAAATAAAGTAAGAGAATAAACCGAAAAATTAACATTGACCTGCTGTTATATTTTTTTTATTTTACATTACTTAGGTGTTCTTTACTAGAATACTCAACATTTTATGAATACTAGACATACAGAAAAATAACATTAAAACATGTCTGGTTATAATCTCTCAGTATGTTGGAAGTTATTTGATATTTAAATTTATTTACTATGTTGCTAATTTTAATTTAGGAAATCAATGGCTCGATTTAATCGAGTGAAAGAAGCTACAATTAGAGAATCCTATTATTAACTACTGTTAAATCGCGTTTTTCTTGCATCTCTTAATCGTTTTAAAGTCATTTACCGTTTTTTTCCTTAAGTGGAATAGAATTTATGCAGCCGGCGATCAACATCAAGCCCCTTAATTAATTTAATCGGGAGAATAAATATTCTATTTAAGAAATTAAATCAAAATACTTACTGCAAAGTAATTCCTCGTTGAGCATGAAAAAATAATTCATTATCCCAAGTGCTTTCGTCCCCGACTTCGAAATTTACACTAAAACACTCGCTACTTGATTTCTGAAACAAAGAAGATACATTTTAGACGACAAGCGTCTTTTCCTTTGTTACAATTAAAGTTAAAACAAATTAAAGCCATATCTAAATAACACAATTCTTTACAGGAATGGACGTTATTGAATAAAATATGAAACGGAAAATAGAACAATAAAATTGCACCTGAAACGTGTGGTTAGGTAGGACATCGTCTTTTATTTCATCACAGGACCAAAGCTTAGGTCATAAAACGTTTATGATTTCGAGACCAATCGATACAGAAACGACGCTATTTCTCTACGTTGGTGATACCTTATGATTAATAGTATTCTGGGGATTGAAAAATATTAAGGGTTTATATTCCTTAATGCGTGTAGAGCTTTTTTCACACTGAGAAAGCCATAAATATAAAATAAGGAATTGTAGCTCCACCTGCGATATACATACACGGTAAAGTAAAGGTGTCGATGTTTCAGAGTCACATGGAGGTGAGAGACAGGTGCAACAGCTATGGGATTTAAACCCATGCGATGACTCGACACTCCACATTGTTTTTCTATCCTAAAGGTACTAGTCTAGGAGCCGAATAGGGTTCCGTGGCCAATCAGGGTGCCACGGCTGTAAACAACTTATTCTTAATTATTTTTACCTCAAAAAACATGGTCGCAAAGCCTGAAAGTGGTCAGTTTAATTATTGTTATTAACAAATTAAATATTTAAATGGCTGTGAAAAGTTTATTTTTATAGCTAGTACAATTTGTATGCGTTAATAGTTACGTTTTCTCATAACATATATCTTTTTGAAAATTAAAGAAAGATTAACTTTAACCAAATTATTGCAAATTTAGTGCAAATATTTTGCGCCTTTACGCCCACCAATACAGAAAAACTAATAACTATAAAGTATGAAATGATTGTTAGGATACGAAGAACCATATCCAGTAACTTTTTTGGCTTTTTATCGAAGTTGAATAAAAAAGCCTTATAAACAAATAAAAGCATCATTTTTGTTGAAAGTTCACAACTTTCTAAGCTGCCATTAATTGTTAAATAACTAAATTAATAAATGGAACTTACCTATCTTGTAAAATAAAGTTCAAGCTTTAATATTAGATGTCGTGCGTCTCAATCTGTCCAATAGAACCAGAGATATGGTAAAATTGGTGCGCGCGGAGTCGGAAAATGTAAGACATTAGCACTAAATTTGCAATAACTTTTTTTTAAAGTTAATCTTTTTTAATTTCCAAAAAAAAATATGTTTGTTATGAGAAAATGTAACTATTCATATATAAAAAATTGTACCAGCTATAAAAATAAACTTTTTACATCAATTTAAACATTTAATTTGTTTGAGGATAAATCCCATCCTGTCGAAATTAAAGTAATTTTTAAAAACACTTTTGAACACCTTCAATGATTAAGGTGGCCATATCCCTGGCCGAGAAATAGTCAAATTTCTGGCGTTTTTAGGTACAGAAATCTTGAAAAATAAAATGTGTAGAACAAAAGTAAGCACAAAAATGAAATCCTCGTTATTCTGTTTATTCATTGTTACTATTTAAATTTACTCAAATAAAATAATAACTTTAAAAAAGCGTTTGTAAAACATGCGTTTGCTGTTATCTTAACCGTCTCGTAATTGCTACGCGGAGTCATTAGAGGAAGGCTAGGGTTACTAGTAAGTCACATAATTATTGATATAAATGTAAGTCAAGTCAATTAGGTGATTATTAACCTAATATAGTTAGTTATACCAGCGTCCCGATATTCAGGTTCTCGCCAATAAGACAAGAACAGAAACTTCTGGACCCAAGAAATGGGCGGGTCAAAGCGAATTGTGGAATTTAGGAGATCTAGGAGAAAAAGTCAGTTCTTCCTTAGGTTTCACATTGAGCAGACTAATTAACTTTAGAGTCTCGGGCTAATTAATTAAATTTAATAATAGACAAGGTTTTACCAAATTTTGCTATGAAGCGCGCATTCCCTGAATGGTACGCTGTCGCGTGTGTAAATAAATTAATTAATAATATCATCGAGCCGTTGTGTTGTTATTTTGTTTGTTTGTTTTGTTTATTGTTAATAAAACCCTTCCTGGAAGTTTTGGTGTTTCCTTTTGTTTCTCCAACTTCAGTGTCACCCTGTATAGTCAGCTACTGGATTACATTCCACGTAAGCGATGAATGGTTAGTGCTTGGAAGTAATTCTCTGAAGATACAACATTTCTAAGTTCCCACGTATTTATTAAAGTATAATGATAATTATAAACTCCCTTTCGAGAATTAAGTAGTAACTCTTTTGAGAATTAAATAGACAATTAATTAAAGGCAGATAATTAAATAACCCCTCAGGTTACAAAGCTTTAGATTATTCAGTTATTACATGTTTGAAATTATTTGTCTTTGTGGAAAACAGTATTTCAAGAATATGGCGGCTTTAATTGGAAAATATTGTATTCACACGAGGCTAGCATACTCAAACTTACAATTAGATCTGACAGAGCATTGAAAAGTGCCATATATACCTGAATAATAGAAAAGTCATAGATCTTTCATTGTATCAGAACGTTCAAGGGAATTGCCATTCGCTTTAGATATAGTTGTACGAAATAGGTGTCAATGTTCTGGTAAATGACATCATAGTTAGTATGCTTGTTGGCATTCAGATAAAAATTATTTATTAACAGCACACCAGTCTTGAAAGCGGATTATAGAATGTTGCAATTTTACACAATCATCGGTATTGTCAGAATACATAAGATAGTGACGGTCAAGATTTTGAACTCTGGCAGTAATATAAATTATGAATAATAGTAGTCCCAAAATGGAGCCCTGAGATACATCCGATGTACTAACTAAGTAATACCGATTTTGACACAGAGCCACAGCACTCGATGTATCATCTATCATCTCAATACGATTTAAACAGATTTGTCAGAAAATCTGATAAACCGAAGAATTGGAGCATTCGAATTAGGACGTTGTGGTTTAACATATTAGACTACTTCGGAAAATCAGTTTACTTACAAGACGTCAACATGTAACAAGTGTTGAGAAATATACTATGTAATTAATAATATCAAATAACGTCCTGGATAGTCAGAAATGTTTTTCAATTTATCCTAAGAACTCATTTTATCAGTCCAGACCAGACGCATTGACAGGATAAGTAGAACGAAGTTCTAACAAACCACCTTCTTGAAAACACACGTTGAGTCAAGTGTGACTGATTCTGCCGTATTCTTACGTTGTGCATCGTGCACTGTTCTATCAGTTCTATTTATTCTGTCGATGTGTCCAAGATGACAAAATGAGTTGCTATAATTTGAAAAAGTATATATAATACTAATTTTAATAGAGGAAGAAGTGAAAGAAGAAAAGGTACTATTTTTGTTTCTAGTCACCGAAGTAAAAATATATCGAAATCCAACATTTATAGAACATTTACGAATTTTCAGGAAACTTGATACTTTCAGACATCTTTGTGTTAATAAAATTATAGTATAGCCTCTAAGGTCTATGAGCCCAGCTAACATTGCGGTTAGTGAAAATTATAGGGGTCTTATTCTGAAAAAGAAACATAGGACCCATACCGTTTTGATAACTTCTATGTCCACAAATGAAACGTTCATGATGAAGAATTTCGAACGGATTCTGCGAAATAAAAAATTAAAATAGGGGTTGCGACCCCAAGACCTCAAAAGGTGTTGCACATATTTATATCGTTCTTTCTTGGGCAGAGGTCAAAGCAGACGTTCCATCTCATTTGTATGATGTATTTATATTGTTGCATTAATAAAACATTCTTTTTTGAAGTACCTAATAGAAGTTATCAGAATTTGATTAGAAGCTTTTCTATCAAAATATTATATAAACAAGTATTCCTAACCCACAGGAAGAACATGAAGCATCAGTAATTCTGGCACCAAATAGTAAATTTGTAATTAAGAAGGTTACAATTTCTGCTTGGAAAATTTATATTTCTATCTAGATTTTATGACGGTTTAGTCCAAGCAAGTTAGACCAAAATCACCCAGAATACGGAGATTTTTTTCTGATGAACCGATCGAGTTGCGGTTTTCGGAAAAATTACGGGAAAAAAGTCTATCTATTACACTTTGGTGCTGGATCGAAACTGCATTGCGGGTGCATAAACTGCATCTTGGAGTGCACCAATTTTTCCGAATTTTTTAAAAATGGTAAAAATTGACTGAAAGTTGTAGTAATTTGTGTGCACGGGTTTTCGGGGTCGGAGATTCCGAATCTGACCCTGAAAAATATGCCCGACCGCCCTGGGGTCCCCCAGGGGGGCAAGGGGGGCCTTCTGTAAAACATCGAATAGCTGAGTAATTGCCTTCATAAGCATGGAATTACATGCACAATTGCATGTACAAATTGTTTTAGAACCAACTGTTCCAATCCTGAAATAGTCGAAAATGTAAAGATGATAGTGATGGAGACAGTGATGACAGTACTGATGATGAAAATTGTGATTGATAGTGAAAGTGTTAGATAAACATATGATAGTAGTTGTCTCACTAATTGCCTTGCAAATAAAAAGAAAATTGGTTCTCAGAATAAAGGGGATTCTTTTCGACTCATTAATTTCCTGTTAGTTTTTCTTACCCTTCTTGTCTAATCTCTGTAAATTTACGTGTGTTACAATGTAAAGATGAGCCTACAAGATCATGGTTGGTAAGCAGGTGGAGCAGTTTTATTGCAAAAATCTGATGTGCCTTTCGATGTTTTCCAGAAAGCCCACCCCACGGGCGTCGGGCATACTTTTCAGTGTCAGAATCGGAATCCCCGACCCCAAAAAACCCCGAGTGGAAATTTAGAAGGCAATTACTCAGCTATTCGATGTTTTACAGAAGCCCCCCTTGCCCCCCTGGGGGCCCCAGGGGCGTCGGGCATACTTTTCAGTGTCAGAATCGAAATCTCCCGCCCCAAAAAACCCCGAGTGGAAATTTAGAAGGCAATTACTCAGCTATTCGATGTTTTACAGAAGCCCCCCTTGCCCCCCTGGGG